CTTGATAAATTATTTCCAACCATAAATCATACTTGGTTAATAGCAGCACCCAATAAAGTAACCCAATATGATGTTCTTATGCCGTAACAAAAGAAAGAAAACAATAATTAATATGTGATCTTAAACCAGCTAACAAGAAAATATAATGCTGTATGAAGAATGCAGAGAGGAGGGTGAGAGAGTGAGAGCACCCAGAGCGAATATGACTCTGAACAAGCAAGGAAAGAAATGATTTTGGGTTTTGACAAATTACCCTGAAGTTGAAGCAATGAACAACGAGTGAGGAGAGGGAGGGAAACAGGGAAAGCACGAAGATGAGCAGCGAAATGGGGAGGGAATATGTGGTGTCTGGTTGTGCAAACCAATTTATGACGTTGGCTTGCCACAAGGGCTGTGCCCTAACTATGAATTAGGTGATTCTTTTTTTTTTATAATGTATTTAAGTTTTCAATTTAGTTTCTTAACTTTAAAAGGTACACTTTTAGTCTTTTAACTATAAAATTATTGGTTTTAAATAAAATTTTTTTTTAATGATCATGGTTGTTTTAAAAATTAAACTTAATATGTTGGTATTTGGGTTTGTTTTATCCACATTTAAGATCTTAGTATCATCAATTCTTACTAATGATTTTAGGGTTAAAGAGAAAAAAAATATAGTCTTTAAAGTTAAAGAACTAAATTGAAATCTTGTGTAGAGTTAGAAGTATGATGTATACTTTAGTCTTTACAAGAAGGGTTAACATGCACCTAACACTCTCAAATATTTTCTCAGGTGGATCTAATACCCTGAAGTATCTTATAGTGCATCTAACATCTCGAAGTTTTTTTGGATGCATCCAACACCTTGAATTTTTTTTTTGCCTTAGTGCTAGATGCATTAGAAAATATTTTTGAATGTCGGGCACATTTAAAAAAATATTTTGAGGTATTGGATGCATAAAAAAATATTTCATGGTGCCAAACTCACCCAAAAAAATATTTTAGGATATTAGATGTATTACAAAATACTTTAAGATTCTAAATACACCTGAGAAAATATTTCGAGATGCCAGATGTACCTTAATCCTTAAAATAATTCACTAATGGCCTACTTTTAAAAAGTTATTTATAATGTAACTATATCTTGTTAACTTTATTTTTATTATTTAATTACATTTTCATGTTATATTTAAAATACTTTTTATTTTTCTATCAAAGTTTAAAAGTTTATAGTTTTTCTTTTAAACTCAATTATGGCATCTGTTTCTCAGTAAACTGACTCGATAATATTAATTATGTGATCTGTTTAAATTATACCTGATGTGATAAAGCTATAATCTTAATTGTGACATCGGGCACCTTTACAGCTAACGCGACATTACATAATGGCATCAATTGTACTTAAAACAGAAGTGAAAATATGCTATATATATTACCACTTCTGTTCTTCAAATAACTTCTGCGAAATCATGTAGTCAAATTAGTGTTTTGCACTAGTGTGTAAAGGCCCAATTAAAAAAATTATAAAAAAATTAATTAAAAATAGTGTGAAATTATAGAAGTTTGCACATTAATTTTTCTATAATATTTGCATTTTGTTGAAGAAACTATATACATGGTTTAGTTTTCTAGCCTCTTATTCTTCTCTTCTTTTTGCGTTTGTTCCACCTGACATGCTCAAGCTGGACCAATTAGAGTAGATTGACCCAGTCTAACATAATGTGCAATTTTTATTTATTTATTTGGCAAATGGTTTGCATCCAACAACTGTCTTTCATCATTACCGTCAAAGATTACAAGTTTGATGCCATAAGTGTTGGCCCTTATAAACAAGTCTACAAGTTTGTATGAAACAAGTGTCTCTTGCCCAAGGCTTCTATTTCAATTCTTATGCCTCGTTCTATTTTTCTTTCTCCAGTAGTTCAAGTTGGAAGTAAAACTATTGAGTGGTTTGGTTTTTGAATAAATTAAATTTGGGTTGAATTAATGTTGGATATATTAAAGTGTCATTAGTTAGTTAATCACTTTTGGACTCTATAAATAAAAGACTTAGCATCTGATTTAGGTAACATCAATCCTCGCATTTTGAGGAGCAACTATGGCCAAAATAACAGCAAAACAAAGATTTGGATGGGGCATATCACAACAATAATTTTCCTATGAGCAAATACCAAAGCTGTAGACTTCACATTTATGGCTATAAGGCTTGCCCTCTATAACTTTTGGTGCTACGTAACCATGGGTTCTAGTTTCGCCTGCCATGTCCCTCAGATTCATAGCAGCACAAGCAACCCAAAATAAAATATTTTTTTAGCAGTATATGCTTCATTTTGACATTATGATATATAATTTTCTTCAATTGTAAATAGCCAAGTCCTTTAGAGAGATTCAAGACCACAATCTTAGAAGTAAGTTAATTTCTTCTTTATATTCCTTTTTTTCATGTCTCACAATCAAGATACTCAACAACAACACAACATGCCCTAAGATAAAAAGGATTTTCCCCCATTAGTTGAAGAGCTATCTGTTGGAATCTTAAGATTTAAAGTTCATAGATGCTCCAAAAAATTTTGTGACATGCACATGGTAAAGTTCATCCCAAAAATAACCTCCCACCAAAAATATAAACGAAAAGCAACAGTTTCAATTTCAACCGTTATGGTGACACAAACCCCACCCCAATAATATTTGCACCTCAACTTTTTGGTTATCACATGTGCTCCTGTAAGACACTGCATAAAACCCATAAACAAAAGCATATCAGGTCTCCAATTTGTCCAAATCAATCTCCCACTCTTCTTTAGGTCTCTTCTGCTCTGATTTTCTAATATTATATCTTTGTTGCTCTAACTTTCAATTCCTTTGATCTTTAAAGTCTTAACTCCTTCATGTTCCAAATCCATCTATTATGTCCAAAGGCATTAATCATCTGAATCTTTGAAGATTTCAGGAATTAGACAGAAGGATTATAAGACAAAGTGGGTATTGCAGAGGGCATTACTATCACCATTCTAAGCAAGAACCGTTGGTAATTATAAATAATGAGGTAGAGGGAGAGAAAAAGCATTGGCCTTCCAAACTATTGTTGAATAGAAAGGCTCATGAAATTGAAAGGGGTGTTAAATATTTTATTTGAGAAAACGAAATCTTTTATTGTTAGAGATAAATAGTTACTAAGAAGCACTTTGTTAATTAATTTTTATTCACAAAAGTTTGGTGAGAAAGTGGAATGAAGTATTTCAATCTTGAAACCTAGAAATCAGACTTTTTATGAATTATTCAAGATGCAGATTAATGTATTAACAATATCCAGAATCAACAAATAATTATCTTTAAGCATAGATTTTTTTCCCCCAAAAAAAGGATAAAGCCCAACAAGTAAAACTAAGCAACAAATTCAAATCCCTCCTCAACCGTAGCCCGTGGATGAGACAGACAAGAAGCAAATAAATCAGACTTGGATAAACCATCCTTCGCAAGATGATCAGCTAGGCGACATTGGTCTGTAGAAATATGCAATATCCTCACCTACCAATGTAGTTCCAGCGTTTCCGGAATTTGAATGATAACAAGGCTGCTTGTGGTGCTTTCTTTTTTTGGATATAAGTCACAATATTTTTAAGACTAATTTCCGTCAGGTTAAAAACTTTAAGATCAAAACCATCCTAACAAATACACTTCTCAATATTTGAACTTATATTCTCTTTTTTACAGGATAAAACTGCTTACTATCTCAACTAACAACTTGTTAATGCTGCTTGTGGTATTGTTATTGGCGTTGATCATGTCCACCAGATTTTTCACGTCTGATTCATTGGCCACCTCTTTAAAACCCATGTCCCAAGCTAGCTCAATTCCTTTGGAGACAGCCCACTCCTCTGATTCAACGGCACTACACATATTCGGAAAGGAAAGGAACTATCTCTTCAGGTAAACTTAGACCCAAGTAAAGAGACCGAAACATATCTCTCCCCCTCCCTTCACTCATATCCTTCCGCACGTAAAGAGAGAGAAATTTCCCCACTGTTTCAGTTAAAAAAAAAAAAAAAAACCCAAAAAGCTAATGGGGGACGATTTGTAACTGTATTGGGGAGACGAAATAATTTGGGCCAAGTGGTTACTGGGCCTCCACGTAGTTAAGCAATAGGCACCAGTCGCCTTTACTAGTTCATTGTTCAGTGAATTATTATGCGTTGAATGTTTTATTCGGTGTCTTGTGTTAACTGTTACAAGTGTCCTGTGTTGGTTACATCATTATCAGTTATATACGGATAGAACAAGGTAGTTGTTTTCAGTCCATGTACCATTCTATAAATATCATACTTATATTCTGCTAAAAGGGGATGAATGAAAAAGCATAATTCAGTTTGCCTTCCTCTTCTCCTACATATTCTGGTTCTAGGCTCTCTCTCTCTCTCTACCCCCTGCCTTTTCTTTCTCTTCTCTTCCCCTTTCTTTCTTTCCTAACTCTCAAAATCTAACATCAAGTGATTTATGTACTGTGTATGATGGGCATATAAAAAGGGTCTAAAACATTGTGAACATTGAATTTTGATCCCACAATATAGAGCTCCAAATCCAGCTTCCCAACAGAGTCATTGGCTCTAACCCACTTTTGCAACCTTAAAACACAATCTGACCAAACCAGATATAGGACCGGTTCCAATTCAAATAAAGGTTGAAATCCATAACGGACACTACTTATAAGTCAACTTATTCATCTACCTGCTACTACAAATGCTGATCTTTTCCCTTTCATGCAAATTTTCATATGCAAGAAGAGTAAGAAAACACGTCGCGAACAAGGGTCAGCACTGACGTCTCCTAGAAACAGGGACGTTAGATTGATTCTTGAGTTGATTCCTTTCCTATAGTTATTGCAGAACAAGGGAAGCAAAATAGGCATGCAATTTTCCAATAGGAGATTGATTCTGCTGAAAGAGGATTTATTCATACAGGTGTTAAGCGGGAATTCACACAACCCCACATAGGCCCCAATCAAAACTTCACTAGTAAGAAGATGAAGATACTTAATCATCTCTATTGACAATATTAATTCGATAGAAAATAACAAGAAGTGATGGATAAAACAAATTCATAATTCAAAGAGCAACATGCTCATACAACAATGAAGCATCCCTCTATTTGAGGGTGATAAACAAAGACCCAAATCATTCTTTCCCTATAAATGGTGGACACTCCACGTCCCACCATACCTATACAACAATTAACCATCCCTGCTTTTAAGAGTGATGATTAAACGTCATGACCTATGAGGACCTTGAAAAAAGAGACCCAAGTTATCCTCTATATATGGTAGGAACACCACATCCCACCATACCTATACATCAACTGAACGGCTCTATGGACTAGAACCTTACATGGACGGAATGAAATACAACTAATTCAACTTTACTTACTATGTGACCGAATTTCCAACAAACCCCAAGAAAAAAAAAACAAAGAAGGAAAGAAAAGACTTACGAAGCCACTTCTCTCACCCTTCAATTACTCCCAAATAGCACAAAATGAGAGCTCCATTTTAATTTTGGAAGCCGTAGCAAGACCCAAAGCGATAATGCCAAAAAGCGAACAAGCTTGAACACCCAAGAATAATATCCTCTTCTTATCACCTTTTTTTGGCACAGTGCTTGTAGTGAAGACATTTCCATGTTCTTCAATTGGCACAGAGACATGATCACCCTGTCCCTTGGTCTCTTTTTTGGTCGTCTTCACCACACTCGATGCTGTAAGTTTAGCAAGGTGAAGAGCAGACACGTTCTCTTCAAGATGTTCAGACAAAGCATAAACCTTGTTCTCGTACTTGCCTGTCCCTCGCTCGTTCCACAACTCAAGCAAAGCAACCACAAGGCATGTATAAGACCAAGACAACATAAAACTAGGGTATCCTGCGTTGCTCAATACGATAATGCTTGAATTAGTCTCAGGAGAGACCCATTTGTGAGTTTGAAGATTGACGATGGTGCGCTGCATGCCAGATTGCTCGAGTCCAGCATAGATGTTGCCATTAAGGTCCAATATTGGATCCATGATGTAAATAATGGCGTTGTTCTTCATCTTCTTTACATGGTTAGCCACAACGATATTGCCCTTGTTGATACTAGGAGTAACAAATATGTCCGCCGCAGAAACAACATCGTCAAAGCTCTTGATAACTGACAAACCTCTCAGGCGAGCTTGAAGGTCACGGTGGGGATCAAGGTCATACACAACCACGTTAGCACCAGCCTGCTTCAGCGCAATAGCATATCCCTCGTTAGCATCTCCATACCCACACACAACAGCTGTTTTCCCAGGAATCATCGCTCTCATTATCACATCAAAAAGAGCATAGCGGCAACCGCACATGTTAATGAACTGTTAACACAAACATAGAACATATCAGAAAGTTGAATTTTCCTGAAACGAGTTCGCTTCTCATTCGAACCCCACAAGCCCTCAGTCCCAAAATCTCAAATCTGCAATTAACGACAGAAGAGCAAGGAGCAGGGCAACAATGCAATGATGCGAAGCGACAAAAGGAGATTAACAACTTTGTTTCAGATTTACGAAACATAATTCAGAAGTTGGTGCGGTGGTCGAGCTCTCACCTGCAACACTTAAACAGAGAGGCCGGCGGGCAGAAGCAAAAGTGGCTGTGCGAAACAGTTAAACACAGGCTGATGGGGGCCAGGAAAAAAAGATGAAACAGAAAGTGTTCTGCAAAACGACGTCACTAGAGTAAGTGCGGTGTTTTTAGCCGTAGATGAAATTAATGATAAATAAAGTCAATGGCGTGGAAAAGAACAGAACTAGTTCTGTGCTTGGCTTGTACCGGCAAGAAGGAGAATTTTATTGGCACTATCCTAAGATTCAAAGTCATCAAATCTACTCAAAAGTCGACTTTGGAGCTGCTAAAGTTAACGAAATTTCAAATAGACCCAGATCTAAAAACTACATTATATATTTTAACGGAACTGATGATTACCTTGCTCTTAGTGACGGAGTCAGTGATATTGATCGCAGGCGACAACAGATTTCCATTAACTTGCATCTGGTAAAGCCTCTTAACACCAATAGTTGTCTCTTCAGAGACACCAACGAGTCTCTCCTTCATCTTGTGGTGCCTCAAGGGATCAGCCTCCAACCCATCCCTGATAATAGCGAGAACAATCTGGGAATCAGCATTATCAGCAGAAGACGGGTCTGGCAATTGACCACTCTTGGCATAACTCTCTTCAGCTTTAACACCCTCGTGGATAAAAAAGGTAGCGTCCCCACCATAGTCAACAATCAGATCTGGACCACCGTCAGGGCCCCAATCAAGCGCACGATCGGTACACCACCAGTACTCCTCATGAGTCTCCCCCTCCCAAGCGAACACGGAGGCGCTGTCACGTGCGATGGCGGCCGCGGCGCGATCCTGAATGGAAAAGATGCTGCAGGAGCACCAGCGAACTTCGGCTCCCAGAGCAGTTAGAGTTTCGATGAAGACACCGGTTTGAAAGTTCACGGGGAGGGAAACGGTAATTCTACCGCCTTTGAGAGGCTGGGAAGGGCCGAACTCGTCAAGGCAAGCCAATAGGCCGGGCATTTCGGCTTTGGCGAGCTCCATCTTGAGGCGGCCTAAGTCGGCCTGAGAGAGGTCCTTCACCTTGTACTCGCGGCCACCGGTGGTTTTCTCGACGACCAAGGCCATGGCAGCGGCGGAGAAATCGAACAAAGGGTAAGTAGCGAAAACAAGAAGCTAGGAACAAGGGCAACGGTAAATGATCGGATACTGTATGTATTTATAGCCTTCAACTCAGACTCCATGTTTTTTCCTGATTTTTATGCAAAACGGTGTCACATTGAGCGAGTGTAAGAAGTGAGAGCGGGAATCGCGGGGGCAGGAAGGGGGGGTTGTGTTAAGGAAGGCAGGGTTTCTAGAACGTTCCATGGCTCGCTAATGGCGATAGTAGGAGGTTCTATTCTCATGTTCTGAGATTCGTCGGTAGCCAGTAGCAGCGCTACAGCTTGACAGCTGTTTCTTTCTAATTAAAATAATTATCCGTAAAAGTATTTTTTAATTATCTAACTTTTATATAAATTTTAGTTTAGTTTCCTAATTTTATGGAGTATTGAGTCTTCTAAAAGTCTAACACTACTATCATTAGCCACAAGCCCTCAAAGAGTTAATATGTTTATATTAATTATTGTTATTTCCAAACTGAACTCAACAAATTATTATTTAAAAAAATTCTTTCAATATTTAAAATATTTTATTTTTTATCGAAACTAACATTGTTAAGTTTAATGTACGGAAAAATACTTGATAAAATTAAAAAATTAAAATAAATATTATGTAAAATTATAAAAATTGCACTTTTCCAGTAATTTTATATGCACCAAAGTTTCTTCGTTATTACATCTTCTTCTGTTATTGAGCATTCTTTTAAATCCTTTTAATTAAAAGACCGTCAAAGGTTTCCTCATTTTGGCCTAAAAAACAATGTTGCTTAATTATACATGGATGAGTACAAAACACAGCTCGTTATCGTCATTATTTGCTTATTAATTTTATTTACTTTTAAATTTATATTTTTAAAAAATAATTAATTAACTAAAAAAACTTAAATTAATTATCCTGGATGAATACAAGCTTGCATGGATTATCATTGGTAAAAATGACTTTTATTTCAAATTATTTTTATGAATTGAAATTGAAATAAAAATAAGTTAATATGATGTTATTTATGTTTGTACAGGCTTTTAAAAAAAAAAAGTTGTATACAATGTCATAATTTTAAAAAAATATTACAATTAAAATTATAAAACTAAAAAGTGTTAATTTATGGTTGAGAAAAATTTAAAGTACTAAAACACTTATTAAATAAAAAATAATATTAACATATTTATCATTAAATTTTATAATTTTATTTATAAAGGAAAAACTAATTTTCGTTAGTGAATATTATATTTATTAAAATATAAATAATAAACAATATAAAATTATATTTACAACTTATTTTAAATTTTTTTTTGAATTACGAAATTCTTTTTAAGAGAATTTGGATAATTAAATGCATTATCCTTCTTTTGTCTTCTTGTTTTAGAGAAAAGGAAGGAAAAGAATATAACCCCCCCTTGAATGAGCTTGACTCCTTTTCTCAATTCTCTGTAACACCTTAAAAAAATGTGATGTCTCATTTAAAGGAATTGCACACTTATCATCTAATCAATACCCATAAGAGTTTAGAGACTGTCCCAAAGACATTTGCTCGACTCAATGGTAAACCATATTCAAAATAAGAGGGCAAACGCCGGCCAAAAAAAAAAGAGGGTAAAATTAAGCTCTTGAAATACTTTCACTAAAAAAATACACCAACAAGTTCATAAAACCATGGCCATTGAATATAATCACTACATGCTTGAGGAGAAAAACAAAGCCCTCAATGCTTACTTCTTCGGTGTCTTGCCTTGATTTCCTACCTACCTCTTCGCCTTAAAAATGTTGAATGAGGGGAGCACTAATATTTCAATACCCTAGAATTTTATCATGTATATTTAACAAAGGCAAGCAATAATAATTTAGCCACACAGACTGTTATACAACATCCACCTTTCATAACATTAGTATCGGATATCAACTTATAATTTATAATAGTTATATGGAAAACACGTCAATATTCTTGGGGCAATAAAAGTAGACACACGTGTTGAATCATAACGCTGCAAGAAAAGAGGCCAACATGAGCTAAAGGTAAGGTGACCACAAGTGAAGCAAATACCAAAGCACCTGCAAACCATCTCGAATGGCCAAGTAGGCCCTGGATAATTTTGAAGTGAAGGAATTCGGAGCATACCAGGAATCCGACAATTAACTCGGTATGTCCAGGCAATGTAGAATCGCAAAACGGGCATTACATTGTTATACAACAAATATCATCAGATGAGAGAGAGGAGAAGCCAATTGAGGAAGAAGTTGTATGGGAATTATTGATATGTGTCTCCAAAACTGACTCTCTCAAACATATATGCTCCCATTATAGTTATCAGATTTTGAATTTTTAGTAAAATAGTTAGATTATATTGACCAATTATCCACTTCCGAAGCATGCATGATAGTTTCTTCATAGCTGCTCAGCAAGATATATTCAACAGAAAAATAATGGAATACAAAAAATTCAAAGATTCATAATGCAAAAACAGGTTTTGTAAAAATTTCCAAAATGTACATGTATGTGAGGAGTTAGATGGAGTTGTCAATATCAAAAGTAGCAGTCCAATATATATTAAGCAATCTCAATATTAATACATCAGAAATGCCTAAGCATTTTCTCTCTCACCATTAAAAGATCGTTCCACATGTACATAATTTCAAAATCAATGGGACTTTATAAGCTTATAATGTGGCTAAATGTCAAAGCATTAAGGTAATTGAAAGAATGGGAAAAGAGGATTCAAATATTATGAAATAACTCATGATGCGTACTCTCCACTATTTGTTATATAAATTTTTTTTAAAAAGAAGCTAGACATCTTCCCCAAACTCATCTCAAAGAGATTCTTTGTACTCCAGGTCTTATTGGAATTGGATTTTTTTTCCTTCACTAAAAAATAAAATCGAACTAATCAAGGAGTACTAATTAATTACCCAATACCGTACATTATTTTCATCCATACACTCAATTTTACAAGAACATCTTTCAACAACCATACCAATTCTCACTGCCAATAATGATTCATCAATTATCTCAAAACTAAGGCAATTCATGGTTTTGCTACATAGATTACCGTCAAATCCGTGTTTCAAAAATGAACCACATAGTTTTTTAGGCTCAAATGGGGTTCAAGTGGAAATAATGTCACAGGTAGGATAGAAAGGCTTAACAAAATGCACAAATCATTTTTAAAATTGTGCAAAATCACTAAATCACCCCAAGAGATTATAAGGTAGGTTCTAGAGTCTATTAACTGAGGAGAAAACATACATACCAAATTGCTATAAAATTTCCCAACAAAAGCATTCAAATTGTCTCCCAATTTTATATGCAAAAGATTGTTAGAAAACAGGTCTTCCACTAAAAATCAAGCATTCAAAAATATGAACCACAGTTTCCTATTAAACATATTATCTAAGCAGATGTTTTATCATTGATCACTCATTCAATTTAAAAGATAATTAACCAATCTAACTTACATTTGAAAGAAAGTGACAAGAAGTCCAAGTTGCCAAAATTTAAACCCATATCAAATCATCAACCAACATTCTATTATCAAATGGCTTAAATTCTTGTCACAAAAAAAGAGGCTTAAATTCTAATAAAATTAGGAATGTAATAAACTTCCTTGTGAATGCACTTTATCACCAAACTTGATTCTTTTTTGCATCATATTCAATCTAATGATAGACCTTCAAATACCTAACACAAGTCAAACCATTAAAAACCGACAATGGTATTTTAGAGAAGACAATACTCCTTTATTACAAATAATTAACTTAACTAATTTTTTTAATGTTCACAAATTCATTATTTAGCTCTTCTATTGAGGACCGAATTTAGTATAAAAAATAAGATTGGTCACAGTGTAAATAATTTTGTCTATTTAAAAATAACTAATTAAATATTTTAAATATAGACCATCCACATTAAATCTGAATGGTCCAGATTTGATGAATTTGAGGTGCTCATCAAAGTGATAAGCAGCCAAACTAGTTACAATGTTTACATCTACGCCTGCGAAGGATGCAAGCAAATAAAAAATATCACGCCAAATAGTAGATCCGAACTCGTTCCATGATCGATCCAGGGAGATGAATTTTATTCCAATACAAATTAATTGCAGCACTTCTTCCTTAGAAGGAGAATGAATATTTGAGTGACTAATCCATGACAAGGCACCATGAAAGCAAGATGCAAGAAACATTAGAGGATGAGCATAATTCTGTTTCCAAATAAACTGTTGCAAAGGTAATCCATGCAAGCATATAATGATGTGGCAAAAAGGAATTTTGTTCTGCTTCTTTTTGGACGTGATAACTGTCCATCCCTTGTCAAAAAAGATATGAGGAGCAACAAGTATGATTGAGGATTCGAGGACTATTTGTGTGAGAAAAGTCCATAGCTAGAAAAGTTAAAGAGCTTAAAATTTCTTGAATTACAGCTTTTGGTGGACAAACTATCCCATCATTAACAGGACATCGTGTCCATCCTTGTGTGGTTGCGTTAACATTGATTTAAGCCAAGAATGAAAAGAACTAATTTCATACATATCAAGCTTGATGGACAAACAACCAAACCATCTAGCTGTGACATAAAGACATGCAGTAAAACTGTGATCCAAGGTCTCTTGAACATCACGTACAAAAGGACATGGTTTGTTGGAATCCAGATGATGATGACGCTTAAGAATGTCACCTGAAGGAAGACTACTGTGCAATAGTTTCCATAAGGAAAGTACATGCTTGAATCAGAGTGAAATTGACCAAAGAAATTTCCAAAGGGTGCCACTTTATCTAGTTGTCATTTGAGTCTCATGCTCTCTCTCCCTCTCTGTTCCGTTCTTGCTCTACGATAGACAGTGACTATCTTCAACTTCATCTCCTTCACCATCGATAACATTGGTAACCGCCAAGTCGGAGAGCTAGTGCTTGCATGAGAGCTAGCCATTGCATCGTTTGGTTCATACTAAAATCGATGACATGAACTCGCCTTTTGCCTTTGAATGTTTCGAGGATGGCTTGGTTAGTTGTGAAATGGGTAAATTTGAAG